CCTCCAGGGTTCAAGCGATTCTTCTGTCTCAGCCTCCCGAGTGGCTGGGGCTGCAGGTGCCCACCACCATACCTGGCTAATTTTTGTATCTTTAGTAGAGATGGGGTTTTGCCATATTGCCCAAGCTTGTCTTGAACTTCTGACCTCAAGTGATCCACCCGCCTTGGCCTCCCAAAATGCTGAGATTACAGGCATGAGCCACTGTGCCCAGCTGGGTAGTTCTTTATAGCAGTGCAAAAACAAATATGCCATCTGTACCAAAAATAATGTTTAAAATTAGCTGGGCATGGTGGCATGTCCCTGTGGTCCAAGCTACTTGGGAGGCTGAGATGGGAGGATTGCTTGAGTCTGGGAGATCAAGGCTGCAGTGAGCCATGATCACACCACTGCACTGCACTCCAGCTTGGGCAAGGGAGCCAGACCCTGTCTCAAAAAAAAAAAAAAGAAGAAGCAGCAGCAGCAGCTCTGTAGCCATACACCTAAAGCAAATCTCTCCAAAATCACTTCATTGGAAACCAAATAATACTGTCATCCTCACCTATTTGGTTCCCATGTCTTCCCTTCATTTTGTGCCAAATTCAAGACAGAAAAAGTGGCATGTTCTTTACTTGGCTTTCCCCAAACCCTATCAGTCTCAGTAGAGGCACATCTAAGCAGCCTACAATTAAATTAGAGAACTGGACCTCCCAACAAATAGAAATAACACATAATTCATTTTAAGTCTAACAACAAATAGAGACAACACATAATTCATTATAAGTCTAGCAGTGAAGTGATGGGATTTAAAAAAAGAAGTTATGTTCTTTCCATGTGTAGCTAAAATATTTACACGGGGCCCTGGTCATATACAAGTGGTGGTTTACAAAGCACAGCTTGTTCAAACCAAACAGTTGCTCTGTTCCCGCTTTTGGAAACCTATCAAGGAATCAGTGTTTACTTAGACAACTCGGGCCCCAAGCGGCCCTTGTGTAGGCTGAATTCAATCCAAGGAGAAGCCCAGGAACATTCCTCCTTTTCCCCTGACCATTAAACCGCAGACCTCTCAGTTCTCCAGGGCCCTCTCGAAGGCATCCGGTTCAGCCTCTGGTCAACTGTCCAGCGCCCAGGCTAGACAATGTAGACAAAGTCCTGTTTTAGAATTGGCCCCTTGGTGCCCAACTTTTTGAGTAATCGTGTGTGTGTGAACGTCTCATTTTAACTCCTAAAGAGAGAGCATGCGCTTCAGGGCAAAGGATTTGATGTTTAATATGTGGGGGACTTGAATTAGTCTAGAGCATAATTCAGGAGACGGGCCAGCTGTGGGAAACTGGCCGCAGAGAACCTAGGAAGGTCAAGTCTGAGTGTTCAGGAAACACAATCTTCTATTTCTACCCAAAGCAAGAAAACAAGCCCAATGTTATTGAAGAACAGTAGAGGTACAAGTGTGAACATCAACAACAGTGCACATAAAAAAGCACATGCGGCTGGGCTTGGTGTCTCAAGCCTGTAATCCCAGCACCTTGGGAGGTGAAGGCAGGTGGATCACTGGAGTCCAGGAGCTGAAGACCAGCCTGAGCAACAAGGTGAAACTCCGCCTCTACAAAAATTACAAAAAGTAGCCAGGCGTGGTGGCATGAGCCTGTAATGCCAGCTACTTAGCGAGGATCATTTGTTCCTGGGAGGTTGAGGCTATAGTGAGCCATAATTTTTCCATGGCACTCCAGCCTGGGCAATAGAGCAAGACCCTAATTCACAAGAAAAAAAAAAAGCACATGCCAAGTGCCTAGGCTCTGAAAAAAGGGTAGTAGTAATTGTTATTGTTCTTGCTGAGATAACTTAGAAAATTAATCTCATAAGAATCTCATAAGAATTCACTCACTATCACAAGAACAGAAAGGGGAAATTCCACCCTCACGATCCAATCACTTCCTGCTAGGTCCCTCTCCTGACACGTGGGGATTGCAATTTGACACGAGATTTGGGGGAGGACACAGAGCCAAACCATATCAACTAATGAGATCAGCACGTGGATAGGCTCAGTGGGAATTAGACTGACAGAGTTAATGCAGTTAATAGTAGTTTCTGTCTGTCCTACCCTTTTACTTGGTGACTGTCTTTCTCTGATTTTAGGTGTTTCTTTTTTTTTTTTTTTCTCAAGACAGTCTTGCTCTGTTACCCAGGTTGGAGTGCAGTGGCACAATCTCAACTCACTGCAACCTCCACCTTCTGGGTTCAAGCAATTCTCCTGCCTCAGTCCCACAAGTAGCTGGGATTATAGGCGCGCACCACCACGTCTGGCTAATTTTTGTATTTTCAGTAGACAGGGTTTCACCACGTTGGCAAGGCTGGTCTCCAACTCCTGATCTTGTGATCTGCCCACCCTGGCCTCCCAAAGTGCTGGGATTACAGGTGTGAAGCACCATGTGCAGCCTGATCTTAGGTGATTCTAACAGGTCCGAAATTTACAATCTTGAAGAACAATGGAGGTACAAGTGTGGACATCAACAATAGTGCACATAAAAAGCACATGAGGCTGGGCTTGGTGGCTCACACCTGCAATCCTAGCACATTTTAGGAGGCCAAGGCCGGTGGATCGCTGGAGTCCAACCCCACCCAAATCTCATGTCAGTCTCCTGGACTCAAAAAGTCCACCTGCCTCAGCCTCTCAAAGTGCTAGGGTTACAGGCATCAGCCACCAAGCCCAGCCATATGTGCTTTTTATGTGCACTGTTGTTGATGCTCACACTTGTACCTCCACTGTTCTTCAAGATGGTAAGTTTCCTGAGACACTGTCTACCAGTACAGTGGCATGTCCTTTACTGTCTGGGACAGTGACCTGGGACAGACCAATCATAGCAGCCAAACTTGTCATCCAACATGGGTGGTCTCAGTGATAGGCATGTTACTCAAGCAGGGCCAATCAGAATCCTTCTATAAGATTTGGAATTTCCCAGGAGGCAAGTTAGTATAATAGAGAAAGCATGAGCTTTGGTAACTGAAGGTTTGGATTCTGGCTCACAGAGTTGGGCAAGTTTCTTTACTTTGAGGATTAACTGAGAGAAAATAGAGTACTTGGCACAAAGTAGACATCAGTAAGTGACTTTGTCAATAACCTTTGTAATAAAAAACAGTACTCGGCCGGGCGTGGTGGCTCACGCCTGTAATCCCAGCACTTTGGGAGGCCAGGAGGGGTGGATCATGAGGTCAAGAGATTGAGACCATCCTGGTCAATATGGTGAAACCCTGTCTCTACTAAAAATACAAAAAAATTAGCTGGGCACGGTGGCGCATGCCTGTAATCCCAGCTACTCAGGCGGCTGAGGCTGGAGAATTGCCTGAACCCAGGAGGTGGAGGTTGCGGTGAGCCAAGATCGTGCCATTGCACTCCAGCCTGGGTAACAAGAGCGAAACTCCATCTCAAAAAAAAAAAAAAAAAATAAATAAATAAATAAAATAAAAAACAGTACTCTAATTAACCTTCCTCACTGTTCCACCTTGCCTGATCAATCTTTGCTCTGTAAAGCTATAATTGGGAGACCCACCTTTTAGTGGGGAGGGCCATACTTAATTTTCCCTGGACCTTGAGCTTTCCAGAGAGTAGAGAAGGGATGAGAGAGTAAAGTCTCAGAATGGGAAGGTCATTGTCCAGTCAATTCACTGACTACAAGGAACTGGGGAATCTTTCGTTTGGCTGGGGTTCTAAAAGTTGTTTTCAGCCTAGATGCTAGATCAGTGCTGCCTCATAGAACTTTCTTCTCCGATGGAAATATTTATATCTGTGCTGTCTACCACAGTAACCATGAGCTACACGTGACTACTGAGCACTTGGAGAAGGACCAGTGGGACTGAGGCACTGAATTATTTATTTATTTAAATTAATTTAAATTTCTATATCCACCTGTGGTGATGGCTACCATATGGAACAGAGCAGCTCCAGATTGGAGCATGGCATTAGCAGACAGACACAGAAGGGGATGAGAATAATAGCTGGTGCTTGCCTGGGCAGGGAAGGCTACTACAGCTTAGAAGCAGGTGGGCCTCCAGGTTTAGAGAGGTGCTAAAGGAAAGCCATCTGTCCACGTGCAGTGGCTCATACCTGTAATCCCAGCACTTTGGGAGGCCAAGGCAGGCTGGTTATTTGAGGTCAGGAGTTTGAGACCAGCCTGGCTAACATGGTGAAATGCCATTTCTGCCAAAATTAGCCAAGCATGGTGCCTGTAATCCCAAATGCTCGGGAAGCTGAAGCAGGAGAATTGCTTGAACCCAGGAGATGGAGGTTTCAGTGAGCTGAAAACCATCTCAAAAAAAAAAAAAAAAGAAAGAAAATCATCTATCTAGTTAGCAATTTAAAAACAATGCTCTTTAAAACCCATTTAAAGCATGCGTGCTTTATGTGTAAAGTTTCAGGACTTCTGAGAAGAGTGTCCAAAAAATTGTTTTAAATCTGTAAATTGTAAAAGTAATTAGCTGCATTACATGAAGATTAGTAACTAGAGGGGAAAAAAATCGCTCCAAATCCCACCACACAGATACGTTTGTTTGTTTGCTTGATTTTAGAGACAGGGTCTGGCTCTGTTGCCCAGCCTGGAGTGCAGAGGCATAGTCACAGCTCACTGTAGTTTCGAACTCCTGGGCTCAGGCGATCTTCCCACCTCAGCCTCCCAAGTAGCTGGGACTACAGGCATATGCTGCCATGCTGGCTAATTTTTGGAATTATTTTTCAGACAGGGTCTTGCTATGTTGCCAGGCTGGCCCCTTATTCCTAGTCTCAAGTGATTCTCCCACCTCAGCCTCCCAAAGTGCTGGGATTATAGTCATGAGCCATCACGCCTGACCTATAATCATACTTATATATTTCCTTTCTGTCTTTTACACAAGTATATTTATATTTCACATGATAACTTATGAACTGTAATCTCCATGGGAATTATGTTCTGCATCCTACATTTTTCGTTTGCTATAAGTACTTTTCTGCCATCATAATTTTTGTGTCTTTTTCTTTTTTAAAAAATAACATTCAGTCTACATAGAGACTATCAAAAATTGCCAATGCTGACCATGTTGCAAGTTGTCATGGTGGGATATTGGGAAAAGTTTTCAATTAACAATAATTGTACCTTGTATAAATCTCACTGGCTACGATACTGCCATGGCACAAAACTTCTTGTATCTTTTTTTTTTTTTTGAGATGGAGTCTCACTCTGTCGCCCAGACTGGAGTGCAGTGGCATGATCTCAGCTCACTGCAACCTCCACCTCCCTAGTTCAAGCAATTCTCCCAAGTAGCTGGGATTATAGACTCCTGCTACCACGCCCAGCTAATTTTTTCGTATTTTTAGTAGAGATGGGATTTCACCATGTTGGCCAGGCTGGTCTCGAACTCCTGACCTCAGGTGATCCACCCGCCTTGGCTCCCCAAAGTGCTGGGATTACAGGTATGAGCCACCATGCCTGGCCCACAAGATCATTTATTTTTCAGAGCCTCAACTTTTTCATCTATAAAATAGGAATAATACAACCTGCCTTTCCTGGTTGTTATCAGAACTGGGCATTTATACATTGCCTCTCGCACTACCCAGCACCATGGAAATGTTTAATGAATTACAACTAACACTATTATAGTTTTTGTTTTGTTTTGTGCTTTTGTTTTGTGGGCGACATGCTGTCACCCCAGGCTGGAATGCAGTAGTGCCATCACAGTTAACTGCAGCCTCAAACTCCTGGACTCAAGCAAACCTCCTGCCTCAGCCTCCCCAGTGGCTAGGCATGTCACCATGCCCAGCTAATTTTAAATTTTTTATTTTGTATGGATGGTGTGTCACTATGTTGCCCAGATTGGTCTTGAACTCCTGCTGTCAGAGGTATTTGAACCAGAGCAACTCCATCTTAAACAGAGGCTGGGTAAAATAAGGCTGAGACCTACTGGGCTGCATTCCCAGGAGGCTAGGCATTCTAAGTTACAGGATGAGATAGGAGGTCGGCTCAAGATGCAGGTCACAAAGACCCTGCTGATAAAACAGGATTCGGTAAAGAAGCCAGCCAAAACCCACCGAACCAGGATGGCAATGAAAGTGACCTCTGGTTGCCCTCACTGTGTATGCTATGTTAATTCTAATGCATTAGCATGCTAAAAGACACTTCCACCAGTTCCAGGACAGTTTGCAAATGCCATGGCAATGTTCTGAAGTTGCCCTTTATGGTCTCAAAAGGGAAGGGACTCTCGATTCCGAGAAATACCTGTCCCTTTCCCAGAAAACTCATGAATAACCCTTTCGTAGCATAGAGTCAAGAAATAACTGTAAGTACACTCAGTTGAGTAGCACATAGCACTGCTCTGCCTATGGAGCAGCCATTCTTGTATTCTTTTACTTTCTTAATAAAGTTGCTTTCACTTCACTCTAGGGACTTGCCCTGAATTCCTTCTTGCACAAGATCCAAGAACCCTTTCTTGGGGACCAGATTAGGATGCCCTTCTGGTAGCACCGGCCTCATGATCCTTCTGCCTCAGCCTCCCAAAGTGTTGGGATTACAGGCGTGAGCCACCGTGCCCACCCCCTGGCCTAGTTTTTAAAAAAATCATAATCATTTTTAGGAAGTTCAATGTCAAGGACCTCTCCTTTTCAAGATTTCCCTATTTGTTTATGCTAACAGGTCTCATGGCCCATCTCTTCTGATGGGATCAGAATCCCCGACAGCTTAGAGGCTGGCAGGCTGAGGGCCCCCAAGGCATGAGAGAAGAGGGGGCTGTGGAGAACTTGGGGGAAGCATCTGAAAGCCAGAGGTGGGCTGAAGGGGGATTCGACCTGCTCCTACTAACCAAATGCACAGTCCTCCCCTCAAGCTTGCTTCTCCTCTGAGCTCTTTTGCGCCCTTGGTGATGGGTGAGGGAGACTGAGCATGAAGAACGTCACAATGGTGGTAGGTGTTAGGGTGGTGGGGCCGGGGGTTGGAAGAATCAGGAGGCTCCCTTGTGTTTTCCCTCCAGAGTTGGGGTGGTAGATAAGGCATTGTGTTTGGAATTCAGCACCATGGGTGTAGGTAGCTGGGGTTCTAGTCTCTCCTGAGCTACCCTGGGCTATTATTATACCCCATGAGTCCTCTTTTCCTTATCAGTGAAATGGCGATGCCAATAATAATGTCCATACAGAATTAGGAAGCTCAAATAATAAGCAATAGTGTTGTCGCCAGGTGTGGAGCACCTACTGCTTGCCAGGTCCTGGATTGAGTAATTCATATGCATTACTTCATCAATCCTCACAACAGGCCCCAAAGGTAGGTGTTATTGTTTCCATTTTACAAGGAGGAACCCAGGGCTCAGAGAGGGGGAAGGCTCCTTCCCATTCACCTCCCTGCTTTGTAAAATGGGAAGTCCTGGGTAGTTGTAATTTGTAGTTATGAACCTCTGGAGTTCTCAGCTCATTCCTTGGAGATCTGTGCTAGAAAGTTCTAGAAGGTTGCAGAGTTTATTAAATAAATTGATTTGACATGTATTTGTTGAGCACTTTGCTATGGTCTGAATGTTTTCGTGCCCCTAATCTTCATATGTCAAAATCTTCACTTCCGAGGTATTAGGAGCTGGGGATTTGGGGAAGTGATCAGGGCATGAGAATGGAGACCTCAGGATTGGGATCAGTGTGCTTGTGATAGAGGCCACAGGGCACTAGCCTGCCCCTTCTACCATGTGGGGACACAGTGAGAAGGCACCGCCTATGAACCATGAATAGGGCATTCACTGGACAACAAATCTGCTGGCGCCATGATCTGGGACTTCCCAGCCTCCAGAACTGTGAGAAGTAAATTTCTGCTGTTTACAAGCCACTCAGTCCATGATAGTTTGTTATAACAGCCAAAATAGACCAACACACCTGCTGTGTGCTAGGAGTGGTTCTAGGTGGTTGGGATTCAGCAATGAACATCATAAAGCACCTTCAAAGAGGATACATGGTTGCATGCAGAGACTGAAAGATCAGCAACAAAGAAGTACAAAATAAGACAAGGTAAGTAGTGAGTGCAGTGTTTTGTCCAAAGGTCAGAGAAGGAGGTTGTGCTCACCACTTGCATTACAGTCTACAAGGATGTAACCTCCATAAGGACAGGGCCCTGGGACCTTGTTCATCCTCACAGCTCCAGTCCCTAGCACAAGTTCTGGTTTCTAGTAGGTGCTCAATAAATATTCGTTGAATGAATGAATGAACGAATGAATGAAAATGAATAGCCTCAGTCTCAGACCTGCTAGAGAAATGTCCATTTTAGGGTAGGCATGGGATTTTGAATTCACTTCCTATGAGCTGACATTTGCGGAGAAACTCATGTGCCCCAGGCGCTGTGCCATCCTCCGCTGCTCAGTACATCCCCTTCCCTTGAGCATCTTCACTAGAGAAGATGGTGGCGCTTGCAATCTAGTGGTCTAGAAGAGAAGGCAGCAAAGAGAATAGGGAAGAATAGGAGTTAAGTGCGAAGAGGAAGCATTTCAGGGTCAGCAAAGAATTCAGCAAGTGTATTGCCTGACATTTTTTTTCTTGATACAAAAAATAGCTAGTTCTGCTTTTTGGACTGGGGCTCGCTGAGTCAGGGGTTCAAAGAGAATAGCATGAGGATAGGAGCAGTACATGTCATCTGCAGCAGATGGTGATGCCCCAGAGACAGAACGTGGCCTTGAAGATGCTTCCCTCTACTGCCTCTGGCCCAAGAATCAAGGTCAAGGGCAGGCAACCAAGCTCAGCTCCCTAGGGTCCCAATCCCAGCCTCTCAACTAGGCCAGCCCTTCCCAAGAACATTACCCTTGTTCCACCCGCTTGGACTCCACACCAGGCTCAGTTGAGTCTCAGAGGCCAAGGGTGTGAGAAGAATCATCCCAGCATCTGTTATTAACCATTATTTCTATTTATTTGGCTGCACTTTCACTTTGGCCCTGAGAACACTGGGTCGGTGCTTCTTTGAGCACAAAGTGACTGATTTGCCAGGTCTTTGTTCAGCCTCACAAAAGAAGGGGATGATTATTACAAGAACAGATTTTGCATTCATATTTACCCCAGATGACATTGCCTTGATCCCTAAAATAACTCCAGATCGCCTGGGCGGAACTTGCTTGTTCCTTTTCATCTTGCTATTTTGCAATTGTTTATGGAGACCATCACCATAGTGATATTATCAGAGCAGGGCAGAATGAAACTCCAAACTCTGGGTTGTTATTGGTTTTTCCTTTGAACCTTGGAACATGACTTTTTCACCCCAAACCTTCTCTTTTATTTCTTATAAGCATTAAAGTTCCCAGTTACAACTCAGCCAGCATCACTTTCTGATGCATCCCCAGCAGTTAAAACCACAGAGGTGGTCCACACTGGGATGAGGGATGGAGGTGCTTGGGTTGAGTTTCCAAACTGGAAACTGTATTTGCCAGAAATCCCCTTTCCTTCAGATAAGACTGGGGTCAAAGTACTAGAGTGTTGAAAAAGGCACTAAATAAACTAAGAATCTAAAGGACCTTCAGTGTTTGGGCCAAGGAACATGGTGATAGAGTTCAACAAATAAACACAGCTGGCGTAGGGTGAGTCTTTAGCAAACACTTATCTTCTTGACTTTTTTTTTTTTTTTTGGTCATAATCGTCATCTTGGCCCAAATCCTTTATTATAGCATTCTCATACACTGCTGCTGGAGGTGTGGATTTGTACAACTTTCTAATAGGAAATTTGGCAATGAATAACAAAAGTCTTGACACTGTAACTCTTCCTTTGATGCCAAATTCTACTTGTGGGTGCTGAGAAAATAATTAGGGACATGAGCAGAAGGATACATACAAAGATGTTTATTGCTAATAATGGTGAAAATCGGAAATAACCCAGTTGTACAACATTAGGGGATTGCTTTTCAAAATTCAAAATCCAGCCTGGCCAGTGGCTCATCCCTATAATCCTAGCACTCTGGGAGGCTGAGGTGGGAGGAGCACTTGAACCCAGGAGATCAAGACCAGCCTGGGCAACACAGTGCGACCCTGTCTCTACAAAAAAAAGTTTTTAAATAAAACAAACAAACAAAAAATCCTGATCCCTTCCATGCAATGGATACTGAGTCACTATTAAAAATTATGCCCACTGGGTGTGGTGGGTTATGCCTGTAATCCACCACACCCAGTGGTGGCTGAGGTGGGCAGATCACTTGAGGTCAGGAGTTCGAGACCAGCCTGGCCAACATGATGAAACTCTGTCTCTACCATAAGTATAAAAATTAACCTTTTAAAATAATCTTGGATGGGCACAGTGGCACACGTCAGTAATCCCAGACCATTGGGAGGCCAAGGTGGGAGGATAACTTGAGTTTGAGACTAGCCTGGCCAACATGGTAAAACCCTGTCAGTACTAAAAATACGGAAGGTAGCTGGACGTGGCAGCACATGTCTGTAAGTCCTAGGTGCTCGGGAGGCTGAGGCAGGAGAATCACCTGAACCTGGGAGGTGGAGGTTGCAGTGAGCCGAGATCACTCCACTGTACTCCAGCCTGGGTAACAGAGTGAGACTCCATCTTTAAAATATAAATAATAAAAAATAAATAAATAAAATAATCTCTCTGATGGTCATCACGGGCAGAACTAGAGTCCTATTCCAGAGACTCCTTGCATAAAGCTCATAAGATAAATGGTGTGCAGTCCAGGCACAGTGGCTCATGCCTGTAATCCCAGCACTTTGGAAAGCCGAAATAGGTGGATCACATGAGGTCAGGAGTTCGAGACCAGCCTGACCAACATGGAGAAACCCCATCTCTACTAAAAATATACACAAAAACATTAACTGAACATGGTGGCACATGCCTGTAATCCCAGCTATTCGAGAGGCTGAGGCAGGAGAATCACTTGAATCCGGGAGGCAGAGGTTGCGGTGAGCCAAGATTGCACCATTTCACTCCAGACTGGGCAACAAGAGCAAAATTCCACCTCAAAAAAAAAAAAAAAAAGATAAAAGGTATTCAATGATTTTTTTCTTTTTTAGATATAGTTTAGCTTTGTCACACAGACTGGAGTGCAGTGGCAGGATCTTGGCTCACTGCAACCTCTGCCTCCAGGGTTCAAGTGATTCTCCTGCCTGAGCCTCCTAGTAGCTGGGATTGCAGGTGCCTGCTACCACGCCCAGCTAATTTTTGTATTTTTAGTAGAGATGGGGTTTCACCATATTTGCCAGGCTGGTTTTGAACTCTTGACCTTATGATCTGTTCGCCTTGGCCTCCCAAAGTGCTGGGATTACAGGCATGAGCCATAATACCCGGCCCAGTGATTTCCTATGTGGTTAGATGATAATGAATGAATAATATGGTTCATTGGACCAATAAATATTTAGCAACTGCAGATTTTCTGCCTAGTTGGAGTTTAAGGTCAAAGATATACAAAGCTGACATAGATAACCAGGTATAAAATGCATAGACAATGTAATAAGACTAGGAAATTATTTACAACGTACTAAGAATCACTTGATGTTTGGCAACAGCAGTAAGGAACGTTGCATGTCATACCACGTGCCACCAATTAATACCTATCTTATTAAAATTTCACAGCAGGCTGGGTGCTATGGCTCACACCTGTAATCCCAGCAATTTGGGAGGCCGGAGCGGGAAGATCACCTAAGGTCAGAAGTTCAAGACTAGCCTGGCCAACATGGTGAAATCCCATTTCTACTAAAAATACAAAAATTAGCTGGGCATGTTGGTGGGCACCTATAATACCAGCTACTCAGGAGGCTGAGGCAGGAGAATTGCTTGAACCCGGGAGGTGGAGTTTGCAGGGAGCCAAGATCGTGCCACTGCACTCCAGCCTGAGTGACAGAGCGAGATTCTGTCTCAAAAAAAACAAAAAAAACAAAAACATCTCACAGCAATTGTAGGAGATAGGTATCATGCTCTTCATGTATAAAAGAGAAAAGTTGGTATAGAAGGAGGTTTTAGTCACCTACTCTTTCAGTATTTCAGGGAAGAGGTAGATGCAGTGATTCAGGGGTAAGAGATTCTCTGACTAAATGATTAAGATAGGAAGGTACATGTAGATGGAGAACGAAGACCTACAAAAGCGTTTTACCCAGACCAGTAAACATTCAGGAGAAAATGATAATCATTTTAACTACCCTGCTTTGAGCACTTGGGGATGATGTTGACATAAAAGTGAGGATTACAGGGTGTCATTATATTCAACCTCACTGGCTTGTGGGAAGTGGTGGGCTCTGCAGTAATCTATAGCACAGACGCGCAAGAGAGTAAATTACACAGAAACCCAGAGTCTGTTATCATTATCATCATTACCAAAACATCTAAACACCTCTTCGTTTGGGATAACATAGAGGAGTGAAAGTGCACAGATCTCCACTGAAATCCTGGCTTACCATCCATGTATTAATGGCTATGTGATCTTCGTTCAGCCTCACCAGCTTGGCCTTGAGATACCTGTGACACCTTCACACTTTTATGGAAATCCTGCTCGATTTATCATCCCAAATATTTCCTGCTGTACTGACGGCTATCATAGGAGCTTTTCAGACCTGGATTCAGTGGGGGTAATGCTAGCTGCTGGAATAAAGAACTCCCAGATTTGAGTGACTTCCTGCTATGATAAAGGTTTACTTGCCTCCAAAGGCACAGTCTGCTTGGGTGTTTTTAGTGACTATCATGGAAACAGATACAAGCTTCTTCCATCTTGGAGTCCTCCCTTAGGTCCTCTGCATTCAGTTTACGACGAACAGAAAGAGTGTGTAGCAGGACACAAGGGCCATTTTGTGGCCATGCCTGGAGATGGCACATGTCACTTCTGCCCACCTTCCATTAGTTAATACACAGCCACATGACCACAATTGAACTCAAGTGAAGTTGGAAAATAGTGGCTATGTTTGTGCCAAGGAAGAGGAAATGGAAAAGGTAACCATATAGCTTATTAATGATAGCATACCTGTATCAATTGCAGGTAATGTGGGGCAGATAATGAAAGGTCATTAAGAGTAAAGCGCTTGCTGTGTGCAGTGGCTCACACCTGTAATCCCAACACTTTGGGAGGCAGAGGCAGGAGGATTGCTTGAGTCCAGAAGTTTGAGACTAGCCTGGGCAACATAGGGAGATCCTGTCTCTACAAAAAATTTACAAATTAGTGGGGTGTGGTTGTGCATGCTTGTAGTCCCAGCTACTCCAGAGGCTGAGGCAGGAGGATCACTTCAATAGGAAGGTCAAGGCTGCAGTGAGCTGTTCGTGCCGCTATACTCCAGCCTGGGCAATAGAGCCAGACAAGCAAGCAAGCAAGCAAGCAGGCAAGCAGGGAGGGAGGGAGAGAGGGAGGGAGGGAAGGAAGGGAGGAAGGGAGGGAGGAAGGGAGGGAGGGAGGGAAGGAAGGGAGGGAGGGAGGGAGGGAAGGGAGGAGAAGGAGGGAGGGAGGGAGGGATGGAAGGGAGGGAGGGAGGGAGGGAAGGAAGGGAGGGAGGGAGGGAGGAGAGGGAGGGAGGGAGGGAAGGATGGAAGGGAGGGGAGGGGAGGGGAGAAGGAAAAAGATTAAAGTTCAAGAGAACTGCAATGGCAGTTTTCCAAGCAATGGTGCGTGACAGACAGAAATTTCTGGCAGTCAGTTTTTCTTTTTTTTTTTTTCTTTCAAGAGTAAATGTCAGTTTTATTTAGAATATTCAAGTACAAAAAATGAAAATGTATCTATGAATGTTAAGAAATGTTAGAAATCATTGAAGTGTTGGGAATAGTAAGGCCCTGAATGCAAACATCACATAAAATATGAATTAATCTGCATTTTTATATCTTTAACATTTAGATGTTCATATGTTTTTAAAAAATATTTTTAATAAAATGATTCAACCTTATTATTTTTCCCCTGGAAGGCAGAGTTTAAACAAGTATGTAATAAAATGTTTTCCTAACGAAAACTGTGATACACCCATGTTCAAAGGTACTTTCTCATTAGGAAAAAAAGAGTTTATATAGCTGGATGTTTTAACTTTTAAAGATATTTTGTTTCACAACAGTAATACATCAGCCACAATAAGGCATCCTGAAGCATAAAGTCATATGTTAAATAATTTGACACAAAAGCTTAAGATCGTATCACCAATAGGGTAACTATCAAAAATTTTAGTTCTATAAAACTATTAAGAGGTTAGAGTTTTAGCTCTATAATATATCCCAAAACATATTCCCCAAAATATTTAGTATATATAAAAAAGGTTCATCTTGGACTATAAATGCAATGCCATAGCCCCGATATGAATGGGTTCTGTATTTTCAATGGCACTGACACTGTGCTCTTTGGTATAATGCACTGCAGTGGCAATAGCTTGGTAGCAAGAGAAGAGATTTAGTCATCACAAAACAGCAACTTAAAAATTTCTAACAACAGTGAATATATATGAATATATAGGTACAAGCTAAGTATCCCTTATCCAAAATGCTAGCCATCAGAAATGTTTCGGATTTCAGATTCTAGAATATCTGCCTAAACACAATGGGACCCGGCTCTAATTACATAATTCATTTATGTTTCACATACACCTTATACACATAGCCTGAAAGTAATTTATACAACATTTTTAGTAATTTTGTGCAAGAAACAAAATCTGTTTAAATTGAACCATAAGAAAGCAAAGGTGTCAGGTGGGGTCAAGTCAGTGCTCAAAAAGATTTAGATTTTGAAGCTTTTGGATTTCAGGTTTTTGAATTAGAGATGTTCAACTTATAATAAAATTCACTCTGGCTTACATATTGACCTTGTGCTTGAAGGTACTTTTCCATAAATACAGTCACTGTGGCTGTTCGCCAAATATAGACGAAGTGATAAAGCAAATAAAAACAACAAAATCAAAGCACACTTCTAGTTGCTTTTTTAAATAAAGTTTGCTTGTGATGATGACCTTCCGTGCTCTGGAACTTCCGTTTTACAAAAAATTGGAGTTCTTACGGTCCTTGTCCTGCCTCAGATTGCTGCCTGTTGCCAGAAAGGACTGGTTGTGGAATGTCTCAGAGGTAGCTTTCTTTTTAGAGAAAGCAATTATTTCTTCTTCCAAAAGTCTTCTCTTTTCTTCGAGCTTCATTCTCTCTTCTTGGTGAAGTCTCTGAAGGTGCTCAGATTTGGCCTGTAGCTCTCTCTCAGCTGCTTTCAATATGGCTTCTTTCTCCTTTACTCACTGCACAAACATCTGCTTCATTTCTTCCTCCTTCCTCTGACATTCACTATGAAACTCATGTCTTTTGGCTTCATAGGTCTCTTGAAGACTGACCGGCTTGTTCTCTGGCCCCACATCTGTAAAGCCCATTTCCTCCAGTTTGCAGCGCCTATGAAGCTCATAGTGCCTGGTATGGTCTGTTCTTGCAGGTCCTCCATGTTTGTAGAAATGAGCATTTCCCGCAGCTTTACAAAGTCACAGTGGTTTTCATTTTCCACTTGTACAACACCCCAAGGGTACTGGCGAGCTTTGACCATCTTGTTTCCAACTTTCACCTCATCCGTACTTCCCACAACAGCAAACGGCAACTGTCCATTCGTCGCAGCATTGATCTTAGCAACAGTGTCATCATCTGTTGGGAACTGGTATATCTGGACGCCACTGCTGACCAATTCACTCATGAGCTTGATCTTAAACTTCTGTAATTCAGTTTTAGAAACCGTATCTGCTTTGGCAATCACTGGTATAATGTTTACCTTGCTGTCAAGGTTCTTCATGGTTAAGAGATCAAGTGTCTTCAGAGAGTGGCCTGTCGGTGAAATGAAGGAGAGGCACACAGGGATGCGAGAATCATGGTAGGTAAAGAGAGAACGCTTAATCTTTAGTTCTTCTTGGAGATAGGCCTCAAACTGAGCATCTATGTAGTCAACTATTGGTTGGCAGCTCTCTTCTTTATTTATTTGGTCACCAAATCCCACTGTATTCACAATGGTCAATTTCAATCGAACATTACTTTCCTGGAGTTCATATGTCTGAGTTCCTGGAGTTCAAATGTTTAACATTTGGGCAAGAATGTGAGGATTCATGGTCTTTAAAATTAGTATTAAACAATGTGTCGATCAGTGTTGATTTTCCAATTCCAGTTTCCCCCACGCAGAGAATATTAAAGCAGAAACCTTGCTGAATGGATCTGTTCACCAGCTGATCAGGCAAACTCTCAAAACCAACATGGCCAGACATAGTCAAGGAACGAATGTTTTCTCTTTTTCTCTGTTCATCATCAGATTCTTGTGAAGACATACAAGTTGTTTTCATTGCCATGTGAGCCTGAAAGAGCAAGTGCCACGCCACCTCAGAGGATGACATGGTCATGGGCGGGGGTGAGGCGAAGCAGCGGTGTCAGCCCGGCCTGGAGCTGCTGGTCTTGGGGACGGCGGCAGTCAGTTTTTCTTAACAGATACAGATATCAGGCTGGGCCAGATCTTACAGGATCTTAGATCACATATGCTGATCCAGTCTGGCAGTTTTAAGCTGTAAGAGGAAGCACCTATGAAACAGGCCCTATCACCATTGACATTGCTCTGGGCCTCTCTGTTCAATCATCCTAACTGTGCTGCTCAGTTTCCCCCTTTGCATTTTGTTCCCAATCTGCCAAGCTTCAGACTTGGTGATTCATTATCCCCACTTAGAGTCTCACTTTACACTGCTGGACCAGATACTCAGCCTCACTTCCCTGACCTGTTTTTCTTTCAGACCACAATCTGGAGTCTTTCTGAATACAATAGCATTGATCGCCTTATTGATTGCTTTAAATAAATAGGTCATCAGGTCTAGCTTGGTCCTGGGAGTTAAGAACCTCAACAAAAGTCCTTTTATGCTATACACTCTGTTTGTTCTCTTGAACAAAAATATTAAGCTGATATGTATGTTTATTTACTTGGAAGGATTGAAATTTATAGACAGAATGCCTTTTCTTCCAAAAAATTTAATGTCCTGTGTATGTTTAATGCTTTACATAGCTCTGAAATCTTCTTCTTAAATGGTATCTTTGGAAGAGCAGAATTTTCTTGTTTTCATTAAATCTAATTTATCAATTTTTTTCCATTTTAGTTAGTGCTTTTTGTATCTTAAGAAATCTTTGCCAACTCAATGTTGTGAAGATTTCTCATGCTTTCTTTTAGAAGTTTTAGCTCTTTATGTTTATGTCTATGATCCATTCAGTTAATGTGTATTTATGGTGTGAGGTAAGGGTCAAGCTTCGTTTTTTTCTAAATGGATCTTGGGAGGACAAGGTGGAAGGATCCCTTGAGCCCAGGAGTTCAAGACCAGCATGGGCAACATAGTGAGACCTTGTTTCTACAAAAAAAAAAAAATGCACAAAAATAAAAAACAGCTGGGCACCACAGTGGCTCATGCTTAAAATCCAGCACTTTGGGAGGCCAAGGTGGGCAGATTGTTGGAGTCCAGGAGTTTGAGACCAGCCTGGGCAATATGGCAAAACCCTGTCTCTACAAAAATTACAAAAATCAGCCAGGTGTGGTGACATGCATTTGTAGACCCAGCTTTACTCAGGGGACTGAGGTAAGATGATTGTTTGAGCCCAGGAAGTCGAGGCTGCAGTGAGCCAGGATCGCACCATTGAACTCCAGCCTGGGTGACAAAGCAAGACTCTGTCTCAAAAACAAACAAAAATAGCTGGGCATGGTGGAGCACTCTTGTATTTCCAGGAACTGGGGAGGCTGAGGTGGGAGGATTGCTTGAGCCCATTTGAGATCAAGGCTGCAGCAAGCTGAGCTCATACCTCTGCACTCCAGTCTGGGTGACAGAGCAAGGCCTTTCTCTAAACAAGTAAATAAACAAACAAAGAAACAAAGAGATCTCCAGTTGTCCCATAACTGTCCATTAAACACTGTTCTTCCCCATAGCATTACATTGGCACCTTTGTCAAAGATTATTTTACTGGCGGGGCATGGCGACTCGCGCCTGTAACACTTTGGGAGGCCGAGGCGGGTGGATCATTTGAGGTCAGGAGTTCAAGACCAGCCTGGTCAATATGGTGAAAACCCGTCTCTACTAAGAATACAAAAATTAGTCGGATGTGGTAAGTGCCTGTAATACCAGCTACTTAGGAGGCTGAGGCAGAAGAACCTCTTGAATGCAGGAGGCAGAGGTTGCAGTGAGCCGAGATTGTGCCACTGCACTCCAGCCTGGGTGACAAAGTGAGACTCCATTTCAAAAAATATATATTTTACTGTATATAGGTGGGTCTGTTTTTGGACTATTCTGTTCCATTCATCTACGTGTCTATCCCTCTGTCAATGCCACTCTGGGTTGATTTACGCAGCTTTATAGTTTAGTCTTAAAGTCAGTCAGTGTAGGCCCTCTAACTTTTTCTCTTTTTTTAAAGATTGTTCTAAATATTCTGGGATTTCCATATACATTTTTAAAAGATTGTTCTTTTTTAAAGATTGCTCTTTTTAAAAAGATTGTTCTACTATTATGGGTTTTTCAAATACATTTTAGAATCAGGCCAGGCACAGTGGCTCATACCTGTAATCCCAGCACTCTGGGAGGGTAAGGATTGCTGGAGTGCAGGCGTTCAAGACCAACCTGGGCAACATGGGAGACCTCATCTCTACTAAAAAAAATTAAAAATTAGCCACGTATGGTGCCATGCGCCTGTAGTCCCAGCTACTTGGGAAGCTGAGGTGAGAGGATCACTTGAGCCTGGGAGGTCAAGGCTATAGTGAGCAATGATTGCACCATTGCACTCCAGCCTGGGTGACAGAGCGAGAGACTAACTAAAAAAAAAAAAAAAAAAAATTTAGAACGAGCTTGTGAGTTTATGTAGAAAAGCTTGCTGGGATTGCGATTTTTAATTGCATTGAATTTATAGTCCATTTTCAGGAGAATGAACATCTTGACAACATTGAATATCTGGATTTTTAATTTATCTTGGCAGTGTTTTCAGGACTTGCACATCTTTTGTTAAATATATCCCTGAGTATTTTAATATATTTTTTTTACAGTGGTTTTTCTTTTTTTTCTTTTTCTTTTTTTTTTTTTTGTTGTTTGTTTGTTTTTGTTTTTGTTTGAGACAGAGCCTTGCCCTGTTCCCCAGGCTGGAGTGTAATGGCACGATCTTGGATCCCCGCAATCTCTACCTCCTGGGTTCTAGCAATTCTCCTGCCTCAGCCTCCAGAGTAGCTGTGATTACAGGTACCTACCACCACCAAAAAATCCGGCTAATTTTTGTATTTTTAGTAGAGACAGGGTTTCACCATGTTGGCCAGGCTGGTCTTGAACTACTGACCTCAGGTGATCCATCCACCTCAGCCCCCAAAGTGCTGGGATTACAGGCGTGAGCCACCACACCCGGCCCTTTTTGATGTTATTATAAAGGTGTTAGGCCAGGCGTGGTGGTTCACGCCTATAATTCCAGCACTTTGGGAGGCTGAGGCGGGTGGATCACGAGGTCAAGAGATCGAGACCATCCTGGTCAACAAGGTGAAACCCCGTCTCTACTAAAAATACAAAAATTAGCTGGGCATGGTGATGCGTGCCTGTAGTCCCAGCTACTCGTGAGGCTGAGGCAGGAGAATTGCTTTAACCCAGAAGGCGGAGGTTGCAGTGAGCCGAGATTGTGCCATTGCACTCCAGTCTGGGTAACAACAGTGAAACTCCATCTCAAAAAAAAAAAAAAAAGGTGTTTAAATTTGTTTAATTTCCAGTTGTTCATTGCTCTGATCTTTTATTCCAGCTTTTCACTAGATTGTTTTCTAAGTCCCATCACTTTCTCAGGTTCTATGTCAGTTCTGCCTCTGGTTTTCTTTCATTTGGAACACTGCAATGTCTGATTGGAATTTGAGATGAGAGTTTCGTAGAAGCAGAGGATGGCTGAGGTTTGCATCCTGGATGACCGGAGGTTCTCTGGCTCACAATTTGACAGGTTTCATTTATATTGTGCCACTGACAATGCTAATTGTTAGTGATATGACTCACAGTCCCTGCCTCAAGGAGCCACAGCACAGTAGGGACCAAGTGAAAAGTGATCTGGTAAGGTACGCAAAGTACAGGTTTCCATGGGGTCACAGAACGGGGGTCTCAAGCCCAGCTTTTGAGGGGACTGTCAGAGACTAATACCAGGAGAAGGTGAATACGCTGAATCTAAAGGAAGAGTCAGCTTTAGACACATTGTACAGTCCCGCCCAACCCTGGTGGGTGACCGGCTGGCCAGCTTAATACACCAAACGTGAAGTCTCCCACATATGCATAATAAAAACTCCAACAGCTGGCTTGCATGTGAGAGGCCCTTCCATAACTCTGACCAAGACCCGGCAGATGGTCAGGATACAAATATTTCAGGTCCAGCAGAAGGCAGCTGTGAGTTCTCCCAGGTACCTATTAGAAAAGCAAAAACCCTGAGATGGTTGTGTCTAACCTCAGAGTAAAGTATCCTCTTGGCACTGAAGACTTTGGGGATGGATTAAAAAGAAGTGGATTGCTAGTGGTCTGTCCACCTCCCCCTCCCTGCTACATGTTCTTTCAAGATGCTGAAGGCTGGAAAAAGTTGATCTAAGCTGTCTAGCCGAGGCTGCCTCCTCTACAAACCACACAATTTTCTGTCTTCAAAGGAAATCAGCACTTTTTTTTTGGCCTGTACTCAGTCCTCCTTAAGGTTTCAATGACCAGAAATTTCTGAGACCCCAAAGAAGTCTGTTTCATTCACTGGCCTGAGCTTATTCAGAATGCCTGTACTGCTCATCTGCTTCTTGCTCTCTACTTTTCAGCATCCCTTTCTCCTTTTAGTAACAGTATCCCGATTTCCCCAATCAGGGAAACAGTTTCTCTCCCTGATCATCAGGTCTCCATCTGCCAGCTCCAGGACTGGGCTCATGCCTGAGACCGCTGGTAACTGAAGACATGAACATGGCTGAAACTGTCTAAGGAAAAAGGCAAAGTTAGAGAAGGAGAGAACCTGTTACCAAATCTCAAGGAACTCTATCATTTAGTGGGTGTGTGGAGAAGGAGTCTGCAGAGAACCCAGAGAAGGAGTGTAGAGGTAGAATTAAGACCCGGAGAGTCACATGATGTCATGGAAGCCAATGGGAAAGAGTGCTTCAAGGAGGGAGAAGTGGTCAAAGCGTCAGATGCTACTGGGAAGTTACAGGAGGTGAGGATTGAAAATCACGCATGTGGCCTGGCAAGGTGGCTCATGCCTGTGATCCCAGGATTTTGGGAGGCTGAGGTGGGAGGAGTTCTTCAAACCAGGAGTTTCAGACTAGCCTGAGCAACAAAGTGAGACCCTGTCTTAAAAAAAAAAAAAAAAAAGCTGGGTGTGGTGGCTCATACCTGTAATCCCAGCACTTTGGGAGGCTGGGGTGGATAGATCATTCATTAGAGGTCAGGAGTTAGAGATCAGCCTGCCCAACATGGCACAACTTCGTCTCTACTAAAAAAAAAAATATGAAAAATTAGCTGGCTGTGGTGGCAGGCGCCTGTAATCCCAGCTCCTAGGGATGCTGAGGTAGGAGAATCACTTGAACCTGGGAGGAGGTTGCAGTGAGCTGAGATCATGCCACTGCACTCCGGCCTGGGCAACAAGAGCGAAACTCCGTCTCAAAAAATAAAAAAATAAATTTTTTTTTTTAATAAAGAAAGAGTTGTGCATGTGACCTTCAACATGAAGGTTATGGGTGACCTCAGAGCTATGTCAGTGGAGGAGTTATGAAAGAGAATGGGAGGTTAGGAAGTGGAGGGAGGAAACACAGATAATTCTTTAGCTGGGAAAGGCAGGAGATGGCGGTAAGCTGGAGAAGACGAGGAATTCACATAAGTTTCTTTTAAAAAAACAAATGTGAACACTTAGGCATGTTTAAAACCAGAGTAATCATCTAGCAGAAAGGGAGTAGTTGAACAATCTGGGGAGAGACAGGATAATTGAAGTGTAAGGTTCTTGAGAAAATAAAATCCCCAAGAGAAAATATTGTTTATAGCATTTCCCAAACTTGGTGGCTTGCCCCACTTTGGGCTGAGTTCATTTTGATTACCATTCCGCAGAAAGCACCATGGCCCAAATCAGGTCAAGGGCCCATCCGCAAACCAATTAGCATGGGCAAGGCTACACTTTGAGTTTGACCAATCAGAATCTTCTCCTCTAAAGCTGGGGGTGGGCTGAACTTCACCCAAACTAAATGTCTGAAAATGAGACAGGGTTAAGTTGTAGGAAAGACAGGGCATTTATACCTGGGAGGTACCCCAGCAGCAACCTTGAAGCCAGCTGAATGACGAGGCAGATGGCCTTGCCATGTGGTGTTCCCGAACTCTTGGTAACAGATTTTTTTTTTTTTTTAGACATAGTCCCTCTGTCACCCAGGATGGAGTGCAGTGGCATGATCTCGGCTTGCTGCAACCTCCGCCTCACAGGTTCAAGCAATTCTGATGCCTCAGCCTCCTGAGTAGCTGAGATTACACGCACGCACCACTACGCCCAGCTAGTTTTTGTCTTTTAATAGAGATGGGGTTTCATCATATTGGTTAGGCTGGTCTTGAGCTCCTGACCTCAGGTGATCCACCTGCCTCAGCCTCCTAAAATGCTGGGATTATAGGCATGAGCCATCATGCCCAGCCGGTAACAAAAATTCTTAAATGGAATCCTACTGATACTTTAGCATATGGAGTTAGGATGTTCAGGGAATATGGCTAGCTGTAGAATTCAGCGTACTGAGGGGTTCAAATCTGGCTTATTCTAAGGGTTCTCGGGCATTTCTAAAGACACAGTAAAACACCTAAAACACTTTTAGTAACTGGAGAAGATGCCCAATTTAGAAAGCAGGCCCAGCCCTGTCAGATGGGAGGTAATTTAGGAGCTACGCAATCCCTAGCTCCTGGGATAACTGTCCATTTATTAACCCAGTTAATAGTTGTAATTGAAGAAGGAAAGACAGAAACCATGTTGGGCAAATTCTGGGCAATACCTGCTTTAATGGGTCCTGTATCAGCTGACTGGGCATAGGTCTTTTTTTTATTTGAGACAGAGTCTCATTCTGTCACCCAGGCTAGACAGGTTGAAGTGCAATGGTGCAATCTTGCCTCACTGCAACCTCTGCCTCCTGTGTTCAAGCAATTCTCCTGCCTCAGCCTCCTGAGTAGCTGGGATTACAGGCACCTGCCACCATGCCAGGCTAATTTTTTGTATTTTCAGTAGAGACGGGCTTTCACCTGTTGGTCAGGCTGGTATCAAACTCCTGATCTCGTGATCCGCCCACCTCAGCCTCCCAAAGTGCTGGGATTACAGATGTGAGCCGCCACACTCGGCCCATCGCTCGCCCGGCATAGGTCTTTCAAGGATCTCAAGGTTGCCGCTTCCTTCCTCAGGTGATGGTATTATGTGGCTTGGGGCTTCCCTTCTACCTTGCCTCAATTCAGAAAATGCTGATGGGCACCTACTACGTGTAATTGCCATGCTGTATGCTGGGATGTGGTAGCACTGCCTTGTGCAGTTTACAAAGCCCTTTCCTACCTATAGTCTCAATCTGGTGATTCTGAGATAAGATTTTGAGTCAGAAAGACCAAAGTGAGAATAAATCCATCCACGTATTCTCTGTGTGACTTTAGGCAAGTCATTTCATGGAAGCCCCAACTTCTTCTATAAATTGGTAATAATAAAAACTCCGGCTAGGCATGGTGGCTCACGCCTATAATCTCAGCACTTTGGGAAACTGAGGTGGGAGGATCGCTTGCGCCCAGGAGTTTGTGATCAGCCTGGGCAATATGGCAAAACTCCATGTCTACAAAAAATACAAAAATTAGCCAGCAGTGGTGGTTCACACCTGTGGTACCAGCTACATGGGAGGCTGAGTTGGGAGGATTGCTTGAGCCTGGGAGGTGGAGGTCGCAGTGAGCTGAGATCATGCCATTGCATTCCAACCTGAGACTCTGTCTTAAAAAAAAAAGTTCCTGGCTCAAAGGATGGTTGGAAGGAGTCTGTGAGATTATACATGAAAAGTGCTTAGTGCATAGTAAGCACTCATTAAAAAGTAGCTGGATTATTCGTTCTTGGTCTGTTTATTCACACAATAATCTTATCCTGTTGAGGCTACTATCTTCATTCACACACCTCCATTGAGTACTGATTATGTTCTAGATGCTGAACACCGAGGTCCATAATGACCAAAGAGGACTCAGATGCAGAAAAACCAGGGTCCCAGGACTAAGCCTTCAGAAAGGAAGAACCATCAAAGGAAACGCAGGGAAACCTGAGCACCAGGAGAAGTCTTCCTTTCCACCTTGCCTCAATTCAGGAAATGCTTATGGGCACCTACTATGTGTAATTGCCATGCTATGTGCTGGGATGTGGTAGCCTTACTCATCTCAGGAAAGCCAAGAGAGGTACATGAAGGAGGAGAAGGCAGGAGTAACACAAGGCCCCAAAGCGAGCATGGAGTTCTGCGACATCAAGTTCCCAGGTCGGCCTGAGGAGAGCAATGTGGCTTTGTAGGAACATGGGGGCAGAGGCCTGATCCAGGCTTATTTGAGGAGAAAATGGAGCAGGTGTGGAATCCACAACTGCAAAGAATTTACAAAGTTTTGGTCTGAATGGGAGCAGGAAAAATGGGGAAGTGGCTAGAGGGAGATGTGGGATCCAGGAGTTTTGAGTGGTGCTTATTCAAACGTTTATTACAGGAGATATTAGGGCTTGTTTTCTGGAGCAGATGGGAATGATCCAGTACCGAGGGAGAGACTGGTGACTAAGGAAGGAAGGATCTGGAGAACAAGGGAGGGGTGACTCTGATAGGAACACAAATGCTTCATTTATGGTAAAAATATGGGGAGGAAGAGATTGTGGGGAGGGTGCAGAGATGCTGGTAGATGACGAGCACCAGTCTGGTTCCATTATTTCTGCGAAGTGAGAGGCAAGGCCATCTGCTTAGAGAGAAGCATGCAAAGATGGCTGGGCATGGTGGCTCACACCTGTAAGCCCAGCACTTTGGGAGGCCGAGGCAGGTGGATCGCCTGAGATCAGGAATTCCAGATCAGCCTGGCCAACATGGTGAAACCCTGTCTTTACTAAATATGCAAACATGGCCGGGTGTGGTGGCGCGCACCTGTAGTCCCAGCTACTCGGGAGGCTGAGGCAGGAGAATCGCTTGAACCCGGGAGGCAGAGTTTCCAGTGAGTCGAGATGGAGCTACTGCACTCCAGCCTGGGCCATCTCAGAAAAAAAAAAAAAAAAAAGCAAAACTTCTCTAAAAAACAAAGTCTTGGCTGGGGCAGTGGCTCATGCCTGTAATCCTAGCACTTCAGGAGGCTGAGATGGGAAGATTAAGCCCAGGAGTTTGAGACCAGCCTGGGTAACATAGTGCAACTCAGACTCTACAAAAAAATACAAAAAAATTAGCCGGGCAAGGTGATGCACACCTGTAGTCCCAGCTACTCGGAGGGCTGAGGTGGGAGGCTCACCTGAGCCCGGGGGTGTAGTGGCTGCAGTGAGCTATGATTGTGTCAGTGCACTCTAGTCTGGGCAACAGAACTGAGACACTGTCTCAAAACAAAGAAACAAAAAAAAAAACAAAAGACATAGTCTTTATTTTTTCATTATTATTATTACTTTTTGAGACAGAGTCTCACTCTGTAGCCCAGGCTGGAGTGCAATGGCATGATCTCAGCTTACAGCAATCTCTGCCACCTAGGTTCAACTTCTCCTGCCTCAGCTTCTCAAGTAGCTAAGATTACAGGCATGTGCCATCATGCCCAGCTAATTTTTATATTTTTAGTAGAGACAGGGTTTTGCCACGTTGGCCAGGCTGGTCTTAAACTTCTTACCTCAGGTGATGTGCCTTCCTCAGCATCCCAAAGTGCAAGGATTACAGACGTGAGCCACTGCCCCAGGCCAACGAAGTCTTTAAATATGAAAAAAAAAATTTTTAGCACCATCCTTCATTCTTTTCTTCTCATGCCTACCACCAACGCATCAGGATATATCTAGAATACCATCTACTTCTTGCCATCTCCAATGTTACTACCCTGGTCTAAACCAGTTTCATCTCTCTGCTGTGTGACCTTGGGCAAGCTCCTTACCATTTCAGGCCTCTGTCATGAGGATTAAATGGCTTATTATCTGTAAGGTGCTTAACAGTGTTCATCGCATAAGATGCGCCATATTAGCGCTTTTAAATAAATAAATATCTTGAATATAGAAACGGCTTTCTAAGGCCGTAGTCCCCCTACAGTCCATTCAGAACACAGCAGCCTCATGAATCTTATAAAGCCTGGGTCAGATCTTGTCACTGCTCTGCACTTCAGCTCCTGCTTGATTCAGGCTAGCCACACTGGCCTCCTGTCCGTCCCTTGAAAACACACTAGTGCTGATCCAGCACTGTCACCCATGCTGCTCCTTGCGCTTCTGCTATCCACAGGGCTTGCTCCCTCCTTCCCTTCAGCTATATGATCAAATACTGCCAAGTATGGCCTTGCTTGCCTACCTGTTGGCTTGCTCAAATTTTTCTCATTATCTGTAATTACTACCTGACACTGTATTATTATTATTATTATTATTGAGACAAAGTCTTGCTCTGTCACTGAGGCTGGAGTGCAGTGGGGTGATCTCAGCTGACTGCAATCTCTGCCTCCTGGGTTCAAGTAATTCTCCTGCCTCAGCCTCCTGAGTAGCTGGGATTACAGGCGCTCACCACCGTGCCCAGCTAATTTTTGTATTTTTAGTGGAGACGGGGTTTCGCTGCGTTGGCCAGGCTGGTCTTGAACTCTTGACCTCAAGTGATCACCTACCTCGGCCTCTCAAAGTTCTGGGATTACAGGTGTGAGCCACCCTGCCTAGCCTTGGACACTGTATTTGCCTGGTGGCCAGTTGTCTCCCTGACAACACTCAAGCTCTGCAACAACGTGGGCTGTTTTGTTCATTGCTGTATTTCCAGAGTCTAGCACCGTGCTTGACACATAGCAGATGCCCAATACATATTTACTGCATGTGCCATTCTCTTCTTTGAATTCCTGTAATACTTATCCAATACCATTCTTGCAAGACTTAAGTTTGCTTTTTCTGCCAGTGGCTGCCTGTGAAAGCTTTTACTTGTCTACAAGCTCCCTGAGGACAGGACCTGGCTCAGGGAAACAATTCCTGTCATTTGTGCAGTTTACCATCCCCTCACAGATGGCCTGATTTGATTTAACCAAAGCAAGCAGGCCACGGAGGGCAGATATTATTAGCAATACAGGTCTCCTGCCACCTAGACTAAGCTCAACAAATATTTGACTGAGAGAGAGAGAGAGATTGGGAGAGAGAAACTTGAGTCACTGTGAAGCGAGGAAGCCCTACTGGGCAAATGGAATGGTTCTCTGTAGCACATGTAACAGTACTCATAACAGCTAGCATTTGTTTAACTTAATTTTCTAATCTCTACCTGTATCATCCTCACAACTATTCTGTCTGCAGCTATAGGGACGGGCAGGGATCTTTATGTCTTATTCATCTGTTATGGTGCCTAAACAAGGCCTGGAACATAGTAGGTGTTGAATAAATGGTGTCAGCCCGAAGCTCCTCAATTCGAGTCCGGGCTCAGGTGCAGCGCGGCGCTCCGGGCCCCGCCGTAGAGAGCGGCAGCGCCGAGCTCCCGCCTGGCTCCCGGAGCGCTACCCCGGGGCTGGGCTGGGCTGGGCTGGGCCGGGCCGAGCTGCGCTCGGCTGCAGTTCCGGGTGTGCCGCAGGAGTGAGCGCGTGCAAGGGGTGGGGCGCGGAGGGCCGATCCCCTCCCAGTCCCGGTGCCTTCCGCATCCCCGCCCGTGGGGCCGGGTGACCCTCGCCGCCACGAGCTGTTGCAGGCCCAGAGTCGGGGACTGAGCCTCCGAGAGCGCGAAAGCCCCTCCAGCCCCTGCCGGCACCCGGAGTCCCTGCCACCGAGACGCGCCGCGTCCCGCCCCGTGGCGCAGACCCCGCCCCCGTTCCTCGTCGGTGCCCGCCTCCCGCGCCGCGCTCCATACTTGGCGATCGCCGCGGCCCCGCGCGCTCATTGGCCGCAAGCTGGCGGCGTGGGGGGCGGGCCCGGGCCGGGCCGGGGCGGGGAAGGAAGGTGGCGGCGGCCCGGCGCGGGGGGAGGGGGGCGCTGACCCGGATGTTCACTCCTGGGCACCGGGGGAAGTGGAAGCGCCGGGCCCTGCTGCGGGGGGGAGAGCCACAGACGCCGGGACCGGGACCGCCGCCGCCGCCGCCACCATGGTAAATGCCGCAGGGCCCTCTCCCTGGGCCGGGGGCCCCTCCGGGGCTCGCGTCCCCTCCCCCTGCCCATCCACGGCCCGGGACGGGTGGCTTCCCTGGGTGGGGGAGGGGCGGGGGTCTCGGACCCGGTCCCTCCCCGCCTAGAAGAGGGCCGCCGGCGCGGACGGCTTGGGTGGGCAGTGACCCTGCCCCGGCTCCCAGTCCCCGCCCTTGGCACAAGTTGGAGTCCCACTGGCCACCTCTGTGTCCAGGCTGATCTCACCCATAGCCTAGGCTAGACCCTCCTTCCCGAACCGTGGTCCCAGCCAGGCACTCTCCCTCTGGTGACCCTGACGTGGGTCCCTTCCTCCCCCTGTCTAGGACTAAGTCTGCTTTCCCCGGTCTCTACCGCCCAGGCCAGGGCCTCGTTTCTCCCTGCCATGGCCCGGGCTAGGCCGCTGCTTTCCTCCCTCCCTTGCCTTCTCCCTAGCCTCAGGCTGGACCTCCGTCAGCTCCTCCTGCAGCGGCCTAGGTTTGCTTCCCCTCTTCTCCGTGGCCTCAGCCTGAATCTCCTCTTCCTTCTGTGATCTCAAGTCTGGACCTCCTCTCTTCTGCCATGGTCCCCGCCTGGACCTCACTGCCTACTCCCCACCATGATCCCCTTTCCCGGACTTCTCGACACTCTTAGTGCAGCCTGCGTCAGCCCCACTCGGTCCCCGCCCTGACCCTCTCACCAGGGTCCTGCCCCCTGCGCAGTTCACGACCCAGGGTCCCCTTCCCTGTACCTGGGGCGCGCCTTCTTTGCACCTTTCGGGAAGGGAGGGGAGCTCTCCAGCAGGGGTAGGGGTAGTCACAGTGCTGTGCCTTCTCAGACTGAGGGTTGCGCCTTCTGGGGAGGCCGCCTGAGAACCGGCGAAGGAAGGGCAGGCCTCGATGTGCCCGGAAGGCAGCGCGCTGCGTTGCGGGTCCTTCTCGAGGCCGCCGTCATGGGTGCTGTGCGTGCGAAGCGTTCTGCGGGGCGGGCCTGGGTCCTCGGCACCCAGGCCTGAGTGGGAGCCGAGGGGTGAGGGTGGGTGGCCTACAGGACAGGGATGAACGCACAGTCGCCCCTGTGAGGTCATGGCCTTGAGGGGGCCACCAGCCCCTGGGTCCAGCATACGGCCTGGACACGATGCACCCAAGCAGGCGCAGCCTCCCCTTTCCTCTGAACTGTCAGCTTGTAAGGGTTGGAACTGCTGATTATGGGAGTCCTTCAGATCAGGTGAGCAGAACTCCGAGGGAACGTGCTGTCTCCACTCGTGTTGGTTGGTAAAGAAGGCAGATGCTATCTGGACTTTTGAGGAACCTGGGGTTTCACATAGACCCCCACAGATAGACCCCCACAGATAGACCTGCCTTCCTACCACTTGACCCTTCCTCAGGGCAGGCCTAGCACTTAGGTTGAAAGAGCCAGAGAACTTCTTCCAGAGATTGTCAAGGAATTTTTGAAGCATGTTTGTATGTGGACTTTGGGCCTCAAAAGTGTTTTGAGTCAAGGGATGCTGCTGCTGAGCGAGGGTGACCAGTTGAGACGGGTTAAGCTTTCTGTTGATGCCTTCCTGTATGATGATTAAAAACATGGGCAATGTCACTTTTAAAGTCTTCCTATTTCTCCAGTAACATTGGCTGACAACTCCTTCCTTGAGGAGGTGGGCCTGGCCCCAGGCCTGGGTGGAGAATGACTTCTCTAGGGCAGTTTTGGGTGAGGACTTTGAAAGTGGGCGGAAGTTTCCTGAGTGTGTGCTCAGGACCAAGTATGAGGCAGGAAGGGGTGATTCTCCCCAAGTGATGGGAAAGTGCCCCAGTCCTCCAGGAAGAGCATGTGACACCTGAGGCTTCTCAGGAGTCTTGAACTCGGCTCTCATCTGAAAAGACTGGAAAGGGTGGAGAAGAAGCGCCTGCTTTCTGCCAGACACTGTTATGTGCTTCACCCGTACAAGCTGGTTTAATCTTCACGAAGCCCTCTGGGGCTGTCCCTGTTTTATAGATGAGGCAGCGGAGCTTCAGGAGGTGGAGTAGACTTATTCAAGGTGTTGCTCAGTCAGTGGAGTAACCACTGTTGGTCAGTGGAAGCCCATCTGGCAGGCTCTAAACTGTTCTTCCCATTATACCAAGCTGCTCATATGTCAGAAGGTTTAATGACACTGTTTGAAAAACATAATAATGGGATATTCAAACATGGCAAGGGCAGAGGAGCAGTATTTATTGCCCATGGATTTTATTTTAGATCCTTTGCATAGGAAATCATGTTTAGGCTAGGTGCAGTGGCTCAGGGCTGTAATCCTAGCACTTTGGGAGGCTGAGGTGGGTGGATCACAAGGTCAGGAGTTTGAGATCAGCCTGGCCAACAGGGTGGAACCCCGTCTCTACTAAAAATACAAAATTAGCTGGGTGTGGTGGCTTACGCCTGTAATCTTAGCTACTCGGGAGGCTGAGGCAGAACTGCTTGAACCCAGGAGGCGGAGGTTGCAGTGAACTGAGATCGGACCACTGCACTCCAGCCTGGGGAACAGAGTGAGACTCTGTTTCAGGAAAAAAAAAAAAAGGAAATCATGTTTAATAGTGAAATAGCAGTATGGTGGTACAGGCATATTTATTATGGGCCAGAATGAGCTTTTGGAAGGCAGAGATTTTTGTTTTGTGTTTTCAACAACTGTGTCCGTGGGGCCTGGCACAGCACCTGGCATTGGAAGAAATGGCTTGGAATATTGTCTATGGGGATATGTGTGTGTCTATGAACTTACCTGCTTGGATTTCATATTCGCTCAATCACTTGTTCTTAGTATCTCTTAGGCTTGTAATTTCTGACTGCTTATTGTTAGGTTTATCCCCTATTTGAATACTCAGACCATTAAGCCAGTGTAGACAGTTGGGGTAGGACAGAAGCGGTGGTGTGAGGTTGCATTGTAGGTAAATGAATTAAGATCACTGTGGTTTTATTTTCAGTAGATTTGACAGTAGAGAATACAGCTAGATCTCAGTTACCCATTGAGGGAAATAACGGCTTGAGAATCTAAAATGCACTTGACTTTGGAATGAATTCCATGATTTTTGTTGGCATGAGTTTCTACTTCCCAGTTAAAATGCATAGGCAAATGGAATTTATTTGCATTCCCTTAGCAGGTAATAATCTTACCACTGTCTGAGTGCTGTACCATTTCAGAGCACTGTTCCTTACAGCAGCTCCAGCTTCTGACTTGGGAATTATTCTTAGTTATGATGATGGTGAGGCTTTATCAGGACTTGGGGGACTAGGGAGGTCTCCTCAGGAGTTGCTCCTCCAGCTCACAAATGGTTTTAAGCCTGGCAGGAGCTGATGGGAACATGGTATTATTACAAGGTGAAACAATAGAGTTGACATGGATGTCTCTTGGCCCTCTCTTGGTGTGGATAAGATACATTGTTCAACTCACATCTCTCTTGTCTGTCTATACAGCCCTGTTCATTTAAGCCCACCTGGCCTCTTTTTGGTGGAATGCTTATTAAAAGCAGCCAGTGATCAATGGCTTGAGATTAAGGAAATGATAAGTCTTGGCTTTGGCTTGAGATTAAGGAAATGATAAGTCTTGGCTTTGAAAGCAGATATTCCTGTGTATAACTCAGAGGCTCTCTGCTTTTACATTCCATGATCGGGGGGAAGAGGACATGACTGACCACAGGGAAATGGTGGCAGAGCAGGTGCCTTGACCATTAGAAAGAAGCCTGCTCTCCAGGCTGGGAAATGCTTATTGTTAGAGCCGCTCAAATCAGGTGAGCAGAACTCTGAGGCATGTTGTGGAGTACCTGAAGCTACAGGATAATGTTAATTCAGCTTTTTGTGTATTAAGTGTCTACGCTGTGCTGCTTGCATGCTAAGTAAGGATGCAAGACAGCAGACAAGGATCGGTGCCCTCACGGCTCACATTGTTGTGGGGTGGGCTTGTCATTGTTATTTAAAGCTTAAGGGGGAAAGGGCTTTGTTCACTATATTAAGTACCTACTCTGTGCTGTTTATATGCTAAGGATCATGGCTCACATTGTTGAGGGGTGGGCATGTCACTGTTATCTAAAGCTTAAGGGGGGAAAGAGCTTTTTTCAATATAACTGCAGGCACATCTGTATGAGCTATGGCAGGAAGCTGAAGAGAAAGCTGGGGCTTGTGCCAGGCCTTCAGTCCCAGGCCTTTTGGGGTGTGCCTGCTCTTGCGTCTGCCATTGGGTGGAATTGGATTGCACATGCACGCAATCTGCTCCTCTGCACAGCCAAGGCTTTCTGGGGCCCAGAAATGCAATGCTGCAGTACTGTGGAAGTCCAGCCTTTCCAGCCTGGGTAGCCTTGTTGAGCCTGTCCAACCTGTGCACCGCAGGATCTGCTGTGATCCAGAAACAAAACTTAGGTTATAGCTGAGCCCCTGTTTTACTCACAAGGAATCTGAAGCTTGAGAGCTTGAGTGACCAGTGTGAGCAGCAGGCCTGGGATTCAGATCCATATCAGCCTCACTCAACGTGCTAGACCCCACTCACTGTGTTTTCCAGAAGCAGTGAGCAGAGGGACCCGTAAATACAGGATCTTGTCCCATTTCCCCTTGCAGCAGACCCACCAGTGAGGGTGGGGTGTGGAATTCCAGGGGATGCTACTGCAGTGTAACCCATGTTGGGACCAGCTAGAGCCATGCCATTTCTAGACCTAGGCTTTCACAGATTCATGTTTCAATGGAAAGAGGGGGAAGCTTAACGGTTATGGGCCACTAGCCGTGTGCCATGCACTCTGCTGGAATGGTCTTCACCACAGCCTGACAAGGTAGTTTTAACTTTAGGGTGGGGGCAGCATAGTACAAGAAATTAGATTTAGGAGCCAGACTGCCTCAGGATAACAGTGCCTCTGCATAATATTGTAATGAGTGGTAAGTAATATCTGTCAAGTGCATCCAGTAGCATCTGACACATAGTGATATAAACGTTAACTCTTGTTATTATCACCATTTTTTGGTGCAAAGGGGTATGTGGTTAGCCCCTGTCTAGCTATTAAGTGGAAGAATTGGGTTTTCTGACTCCAGAGCAAACCGTTTTTCTCCGCTCCTTACTACCTGCTGATGGCTGCTTTGGAGTTTGCTTGGCTCTGGGCTGTGCCTTGAATGGACAACTTCCCTAATAGAGCCTGGGGCTCTTTTCTCCACTGAAGACAGGCTCCCTGTGAGCTGGGCACCATGTGTTCCCAGAGCCTCAGGCCTGAATGCTTTGTCTATGCCAGGAGGGTGACTGGAGGGTTCTTGCCCTCTTCCATGCTTAGAAGAATACAAGGCTGGGGACAGAGCGTATGAGCTCTGTGAGAGCAGGGACCTTGTCTGTTTGGTTGTCTCTGAGCATCCCACATCTTGCACTGACTGCCTGGCACTTAGTGAGCGCCAGCTACTTAAACGCTAAGTGATAGCTGAGAGGTAGCATGGTCGTTGCAGTTGGGTACATCTGGATTTGAGTCCCGTCTGCCACTCAGCATGTGACTGTTGGTGAGGCTCCTAATTCCCTCAGTCTCAGTTTTCCTGGTCTGTAGCATGAGGATAACATTTTATAGGGATGGGGGGGTAGGAAATTTGTAATGTACTTCCTCCGGTGCTTGGCACACAGTAGCTGTGGTTGTTGCTTATCTTACTCTGCATACCACAGAGTAAAGACACAAATAGATGCCATAATCTCTGTCCTCTAATCCAGGAGAGGGAGGCAAGATGCACCGGAAAAGCCAAGTGTAGCAGGAAGGAAGTAGTACCAGAAAAGATTCAGCAAGGGACTCATGGGTGCTGTGGTGTGCCCATCCCTGCATTTCTCCCTCCTCCATGCAGCCGTGCAGACCACTCCAGCCTGCTGTTGGCTTGGGGGCTGGGCATGAAGCCCCGAAGAGTGTGCTCAGGGAGAGAGGATGGGGTGGGGTATGGTCAAGGGGACTGGCACAAAAGCAGAGGTCAGGGGGTGTGGCCAGGCAAGGAGTAGATGCCAGCCGATGGGGTGCCTCAGGCTCAGGAGTGAGTTTTGGAGCGCCTGAGTTGCTAAGCTAAGGAGTTTACATTTGATCTGGGACAGTGTGGAGCCAGTGAAATTTTTGACAGGGCAGGTAGAAATTCGAGGAGGCTGGCAGAGCAGTGGTATTTTAGGAAGAGTCCTCTGGCTGTGCTGTGCTGTGCTGTGCAGGAGGTCTGGGGAAGTGAAAGAGATGGGAGAGAGGCCTTCACAAGCATCAGCTTGTGAGCTT